AAAAAAATTGTTTTTCATCTTGGCGAAGTTTAGACGATGTTCAAAAACAATATGTACAATTGTTCCTTTAATTCTTTTGCAAAACTTTGAACAATTGATGGATCGATTTAAAAATTTACAGGGATATGGGAGAAACATTAAACTGTAAAAACACCTACAAAGATTAGTCGCCTCATCAATGTTGGTAAATACGCGGTAAATTTACTAAAAAAATGTTAAAGGTAAAAAAAACATTTTTCAAAAAAGTATAAGAGAATCTTATAAGACATTTATTCCAGTTTTTGACACTATTCTTATATTTTTTTTGTGGTCATTGGTTGCTGAGATATCGATGATCAAAGACAAGATGATCTTTTTTCATTTAAAGTCAGATATCTCAGCGACAAATTAATTATTAAGAAAATATGAAAAAAAGGACATTAAAAGTTAACAAACATGCCATCCGGCCTATGCATTAACTTAATTAAAAAACACCACGTCCGTGGACCAAAAACAAAAACATAAAAATTTCGATTTTTTTTTCTCGCTCTCTTTCTTAGAATTGCTTGATAACAGTAGCACAGAAAAAGTATTTGCCAAAACATTTCAAAACTAGAAACTTAGAACTTTAAACTGATTTTTTTTTAAATCAAAAATTACCAAAAAATGTAGGAAAATAATTTGTTTCTTTAATTTTTTGGAATAGTGTATAATTTACGTTTTTACAGGTTCAACAGTCATGACCAACTTCACTTGTTTAGAAACGAGCAGTGCATTACTACATAACGAATGTAAGTATTTATTTTTAGGGTATTTAAGAGCGATATGTTAAAGTTTATTTTTTGTTGATCTTTTTTTCACATCTAAATAGATTACATAAAAATCTATTAAAAGTCTTTGCAAAAAAAAGCTAAAGTTTCATATATTTTGTCCCGACTTTTCTATTTAGTCAACTTTGTGATTTTTGTAGAGAAACTGAATAACTCAAGGCGACAAAAAAAGTCATGTCGTGACAACTTGACAAATTATATATCATTTTGGATTTAACATCAGAGAACATTTTCAAAAAAAAGTTCAGAAAGCTTGAACAAAGATTTGTTTTGAAAAAGATTTGCCCTTATATTTAAAGGTAGTGCCTTAAACTTCTAAATCCTCTTTGCTCAATGATCAGTGATCATTTTTAGAACAAAAAAACTCTTCATTTGCTTTAATTATTAAGTAAAGAAACGGTTTTTGTTAATTCTAATTAGAACAAAAAAAATGCAATTGACCATTTTTAAGCAAAAGAAGATTCTTAAAACTAATACATTTGTAAAAATGCAATTTTAAGTAAGATTAACATGCATTTCCAATGCTTGATTAGTAAACCTTAACTTCAAAAAATCATATCTTGAAAACTACTCGGTATATTTTTTTGAAAATTTGGATTCTAACTAATAATGCTCTACACGATGGTGATGAAGAAGAAAAATTTTACTTGTGGAGTTTTTCAAATTTCATATCATTCTAAAGATCAAGTCTATCCTTTTAGAATGGTCTATATTTGAGAGAAATCGGCCTAATAGTTATTGAGTAATAATTTTTTAAACTTAAAGCATTTTAAATCCATTTAAATTAGAAAAAAATTATTTAGTTCAAAGTGTGTGGACTTCTTTTAGTGCATTTGATTTGTCTCACTGAAACAATTTAAAAAAAATAAATATAAAAAGCAATAAACAGAGAAAAGCAATTTATTTCGACAAAATACAAATCGATAGGTACATTTAACAACTAGTGCTTTTGTCGACGACGACGTCTTCTCCTACTTTTTGCTCTTCGTCGTCTTGCTTCCACAATGTGATCTAGAATGTCACCCAATGCATACTTATTGCGCACACGTTTAAGAGCACCAAATGCAACAGCCTTTTCAATCACTTTCCGTAAGGTAGATTCATTGCTTTGACATTGAGGATATTTTTCTTTAATGTAACTGCTGATGTGTTTCAGCGAAGCTCCCCCATCAATGTTGAGATTTCTGATTGCTGTAAGGACCAAACGCGCTGCAGCCTTGTTGTTTTTTGATAATGGGGCCATTTTACTTTAATTTTGAATGTTTAACGTTTGGCAAAAATCACAAATCAACTAATTTTGTTTCCGATTTTTAACCATAGTGATTTCCACTAATGTCAAAGATCATGGCAATGCTAACTAGACTGACTTTCAGCAGAATGAGAATAATTTATTTTGAAGGTGAATTGGTCACAAACGAAACTTTTTGTTAAATACATTTCGTTTCTAGTATGTCTAATTTAAACACATTGTTCTTGATTACTAATACTGTGGCCGAAATTGTATCAAGCTAAAAAAACTTCTTTTATAAAAATATTACTCAAAACAGACAATAATTTTAAATTAAGACACCTTATTATTGCAAGTCTTGCAATTTTCACCACTCAATTATGACAGAGTGATCTCAATTGCTTTCAACTTTCTTTTGAATACTGATTTCAACACACTCAATTAATTCTTGCATAACTGGAAAGTTTTAAGTTCTATATTTAACACAATCACAAAAATCTACAAAATAATATACAGGGTGTCTCAACGAGTTGGCAAAGTGTTTGTATTGACCATAAAATTTTAACAAATGTAGATAGGAAATTGATAGATTCTAAAAACATGTGTTTTTTAAATAAGACACCCTATGTTTCTTGGCATTTTTGGATGATTTATTACTAAATTTTACTTACTTTTAAGACAGTTTTTTTACAAAAGCATTCACTTTTTAACAGTTTATTATTGTATAAAACCTAAGATAGCTAGAGCAATTTTTTTTAATTTTTGCAAATAAGAATGTAAAAAATATAAAGTTGTAACAATTTTTTAGTGTTTTGCATTTGTACAGATTAAAAANTACAGATTAAAAAATGAAGAAGTTTATTAACTTATAAAATTTAAGTGGAATAGCCCAACTTTTTGTTTTTGCATCTAATAGAATAAACAGAATCTATCAACATCCTATATATTTTTTTAATTTTACCATTTAAAGGTTATTACTAATGGACTTTACCAATTTGCTGGGACATCCTGTATAAGGAAAACATTAAAAGTTTAATGGAAAAATCAAGGTCGTAGTTTAATTTAATTCAAATAATTGTCAGAAAGCGAGAATTTAATAGACTGAAATTTTTAAACTAAAAAATTTGTGTTGTTTTAATATTAATATTAGATCAAAAATTTTACTTAATTTAAAAATTGTTATAAAAAATTTTGTCAAAATAATGACAAAATGCCAAGATAAGAGATTTTATGTAATTTTATGTAATTGTGTTGACTGTTGACACATTTGTTTTTCCTATTTTTAGATTTTTTAAAAATATGTAATAATTTTGTTCTGAAACGCTTGCATATTTGTTCAATACTTCTAACGTATCGTATTTTTTTAATTTTTATAATTTTACCAATTTTTCATCTATTTTACAGTTCACAAAACTCTTATTGATTAATTTGGAGTGAAATAGTTTTTCCATGGCCAACTATTATCAAACAAGACATGTATTTCATTTTTTAAGTATAATTATAAAAAAATATTCTGTTACAAATATATATTTTTTAGATCAAAAAAAATAAGCTTTTCAAAATTGTCATAGCCGCCTATGATTTCCATTTAAAAAAGTACAAGTTTTATTTTATTACGGCTAAACAAATAACTGAAAAAAATAGTTAACTTGATTATTAAATTCTTCGTAAAAAAGTGCTCAATTTTTGTCTCAAGGTCAAAATCAAAAGACGATAAAAAAGACAACCAATTCGGTGGGACATCTTGTATAAGTAAAACAACAAAAGGTTAATGAACTGTTTAAAAATCAAGGTCATAGTTTAAATTTAAGCAATTGTTAAAGAGCGAGAATTTAGTAGACCGAAATTTTTAAACTATAAAATTTGTATTGTTTTCAAAATTTTCTCTAATACTAATATTAGATCAAAAATTTTACTAAATTTAAAAATTGTTATAAAAATAGTTGCCCGGCGCATCCACCAATTTTTGTTAAAAAATATGTTTTGAAAATATTTTATTTAACAGCAAAAACAAACGTATTTTGTCTGAAAATTTTTATCAGAAAATACACACTTGTTTTCTCAATTTTATACAATATAAAATTCAAAATGTTTAGTTTTAATAAACAATGTCTTTTCTGCAGTTTCGAGCTTGTATTTATTACATAGCTGCAACAAATCTGTCAAAAATTCTGTTTTACTTATTTAAAAAAAATACTAACAAGTAGAAACTGATTTGCTTTTAGCCTGGTGTCCTGTAATTTTTGACAACTTTTTATGCTGGCCAGCCACACCTCCAGGACAAAATGTGACTCTGCCTTGTCCTGAAAGAAAAGGCGTTATTACAGGAGGTAGTAATTTTTTTTATTTAGCCTAACCTGAAAATTGCTTTAATTTCAGCTAAAGCATACCGGCGTTGTCGTGATGACGGCAGATGGGAAACAAAATGGGACGAAAAAGATAAAGAAAAAGGATTTACTAATTACGATAATTGTTTATTGCCTCAACTTCTCGACATAATAAAAATGTGCGAAGAGATAAAAGAATGTCCACAGGTATAATTAACTCTTTTCCAATTATTTTTCATTCGTTTTTCTAGATCACAAGAACAACGAGAAATATCGAAATGGTGGGACTGTCATTCTCTTTAATTTCGCTGATTATATCACTTATCATATTTTTTCAATACAGGTGCGATACCAATTTATTTTTATTGATTTAGACAAAAGTGGAGGTTTTTTAGAGTCCTTAAAAACAACAGGACAAAAATCCACAAGAATCTATTCATTGCCACCCTTTTGCAGGTGGTTTTTCGACTTATTAAGTACGTCGATCAAGAGCTCAAAGCAGGGGATAGGATTATCGAAAATACGGTAAGTGAAGTATTTTATCAATATAATATTAAGTTTTTTATTGATTTTTTATAATAACAAGTGCAAATGACACTTTGGGGAAATATTATCCTTGACGTAAAACAATATCTTTTTCTGACATTACGCAATAATTTTGTTCTATAATTACTTGACAGGTATATTGTAACAACTTACGTAAACACTGTTAATTGTTTACAACAAAGTAAACAACAAAGTTTCGTAAAACCAATTTTAATCTTTTTCAAATCCCAATTCTCTAATATAATTTCCAATTTGATTGAAACAATAAAGCGAAATCGAAACAGTTTGCTTCAAACAAGTAAATATTTTTACTACTTTATTTTCTGAGTTATTTTTTAAAGTATGCATAGCGTTTTATATCTACATCATCTAAAAAAAGTTTTGCATTTTTTATGCATAAATAAATTTAAATAAATAAATTATATTATTCTTCAAGTTTTTTATAGTATTTTTTCTATTTCCGTACTTTTTTAACAAAAAAGTTAGGTTTTCAAAATTTAGGAAATTTAGGCTCTAATAAGGTGGTGGTTGGTAATAAATGCCAATAAAATGGCAAGTCTCAAAAAATTTTGAAAATTTTGTTGAATATTTTATGCACATCACCTGAAATAAGAGAAATCGCTCAAAACACTGCTGAAAATCACCATTACCAACTTCTAAAAAATAAATTGTACTAGTATATTTCAGTACCAGAAAAATATTTTTTCAGCTAATAAACACCCTAATACTTAAATTATTTTTACGCATATCAAAAAAAATCAGATTATTATACTCAGTTTTTGTTTGAAAATTATAGATGGATGCAATCTTAATTAATTTAATAATTTTGTAAAAATTAAATTTTTTGATACAATTTTCTTCTTATTTATTTTTTACTTAAATTAAAAAAAACATTATAGGTGGAAACAACAAAAAATCATCACTGTATTGCATATAAATTGAGAATATTTTTGTATGTATGTTTAAAAGCTACAAAATATTTACTGGTGTAAAAATATAGAGAAATAAAAAAACAGTCTATTAAACATTTAATTAAAAGTTAATTCTTTGTTTTTCAAATTATTCGGCAGCTTTCTGCTGTTCAAAAGTTGTTTTAAGAGCTTAAAATGTAATTAATGCATTTAACTTTAAACCTACGTTATTGACAGTAATTAAAACGTTCACATTAATAATTCTCAAATTAGCAACACTGAGAAAATTATGTCATTCATACAAAATTTGTTTAAAAATTTATTCAGAATACTTTGCTTTAAATTCTAATTAGGGTTAAAATTATTGATTGTCGCTCAAATTGTGAAAAAATTGAGAATATTTATAAAGTTATTTTTTAATATAATTCCTCCACTGATGCACACACAATCTTTAAACTCTTATAATTGCAATTAGTGGCGTAGCTGACATAACAATTACTCGCCCAAAAAGTTTCTAATTTTGTGATGTAAATAAAACTTTGAAACCCTTGTGGTAAAATGTATAATAATTTGGGTCATTATATGGGTATTACTAGTGCTTTTCAAGATGATTTTAATGAAGTCTTGATGGAAGAAAGTATTAGGATTTTATGCTCTGTTGCGACTGACGACGTCATTTGCAGTCTTTGCCTGTTTATTTCAAGAATTAAGACTAATCGGCAGTTAAAACCGATTTTGTAATGCGACTTTTACAACTTCTTTAATTAAAATAAATCTCTGTTTTCAAATTTTGTGCACTGAATTACCAACCAAAATCTAGCCAACAATTTTTATTATTGTGCTTTATATGCTTGCTTGTTTCTCAAGTAGGTAAATATTAAAATGAAAGTTTTATAATATTGTGAACAATACGACTTATAAGTACTTCATAATCGTTAAAATTTCGAATAGTTTCTGTAGTGGTCCAGAAGTCTGGAAACGATTTTATTCTGGCGAAATTATCAATTTTTTTGGCAAAAAAATATTATTAATTAATTGTTTATACTTACGAGATAAACAAAGAAATATTTTTTCTTAATGAAAACCTCCCACACTTTTAAACAACGAGCTTTTTACAAGAATTGTTGCTGTGCAATTTTTTTTGTAAACCTCACACTTTTTTGTTAAAAAAATGTTTGACTTACAAAAATTAAAGATTTTTTTTGAGTAAACTACAAGTTTTTTTTGAAAATAAATTATAATAAATTATAATTAATTGTTTAAACTTTTGAGATTACCAGACTAATAATTTTTTCTTAAATAAAAACGGTTTTTTATTTATTGATTTACAAAGATGTGTTTATGCATTTTTTAAATGTTACAATTTACGTTAAAAAAATTATAAACTTTATCTGTTAATTTTCTTCCACCGGCCAAAGGCTGCAGTTTTGGCGTAAAATGAAAGATAAAAAAAAATTTCCTCTATTTCAATAAATTTATTTGTTTATTATGTATAAGGTGAACAAAAAGTGCTTATGGAACCAAGCTTTTTTTAATATCTGTCTTTAAAAATGATAATAAAAATTAAAGTGCTCTGTTTTCGAGTTTTGCAATTGTTTTTAAATAGTAACTTATATGAAAGTTTTTATCGATAAAATGTGAATAAAACATAGTTATAATCCTTAGATAAGCGCCAAAATTATGGAATAGTCTTATTAAAACTGAATATGTTGTTTCGACAAAAATGCTTGAACAGGTCAAATTTTTTTTTTAAATACACAATTTTCAACTTGATTTAAAATTCAATAGATCTTTCAATTGTCGAAATAACAACACCAAAATATTAAATATACAGTCGTCCCCGGATTGAGTTTACAAAAAAAAAATTCTATCTTTTTTTTTACGCCAAAACTGCAAAGGAGAAACATTTTTCGCTTCACCTGAAACGAGCAAATCTGTAATTAAAACTTCATTATTCTGATTCAGTAAAAAAAAGTAAATTTTTCTTTTGATTTTGGACCTTTTCTCTGCTTTTAAGTCCTATCACATTAGCGCTTTTATTTATTTGACAACAATTAATTTCTTAATTAATTATCTTAATTGTTAAAAATGTCTTTGTTTTTTTTTAAAAGCTGTTTCTTTGAGTTCCTATGTGTATTAAAAATTGCCTACTTTCAATTTAATTAATTTTTGCTTTATATCAAAGAATCTATTAATTTATTTAAAGCTGAAATATTATCCGGATCTTTAATTACCATTAAGGAAACACTACAAGCATCAAGAAATTCTTCAAGTCTAATTTTGTGGTTAAAAGCAATGAAATAAATGTACATGTAAAAGGTATGCGCCAGATTTTAGGGGGTCTGGAGCCTTAAGGCTTACACTTTTATTTATTTCCATTATAAATTATATTTTAGGAGCAGTTGTTTTTTAGAACAGAGTTAACTAGTTACGAATTTATAAAATTATATTTGAATTTTTAACAAAATTGATTTTTTCCCGATTCAAAATATTGGTAGTATGCATCTTATCTTATGCAAATGTAAATCCATCAGAAGGTGCGAAACTAAATTGAAGAAAACTAATACTTGGTATTTGCATTTTTCTCAATTTTCAAATAATTAATTGTGCTTTGTTTCTTTTAATTTTGATAACTAAAAACAGAAAGATAAATAGATGGTGACGCCACAATGATAGTTATAATAAAATGAATCAGAACAAACAAAAAATATATTACATAATTTATTAAAAATTATTATTTGAAATTTTTGCAATTTTTAGTCTTTTTACAGAAAATTACAAAATTACAGTTTTCAAACTATTTACTCTACCGTTGCGTAGATGGCATCTCTCTAGAAAGTTCCAAAATGTACCAAAATGAAGAACAAGTTTTCAAATAAAAAAAAGAATAATTGAATTTTTTGAAATACAGTAAACAAATTATTTTTTTTACAATTGGATGTTGTTCCTGAATTAAAAAAAGTATCTCACACACAGTAACACCGAGTTTTTATCTCTATTTCAGTGTTTGTAACGAATCGCAAATTTCAATAGTTTTTATTTTTTTTATAAAAAAATGATTTATTTAAGTTGCATGAAAAAAATACAGTAACATAAGTAGGTAATTTATAATACACCAAAAATAAATCAAAAAATTCTTCCGTGCAGTTTTGTTATAAAAAAATAAAATGAGCAAAAATAGTTTAAATTTTTTTTAAATTTAAATTTTAATTTTTTTAAATATTGCTGCTAAGGTTATCAAAAAGTTATAATAATTTTTCCATAATTTTTAAATAACGATTTATTTTTTTATTCAGTATGGTTTAACCTTAACGTACCACCCCAAAGCCGGTGGAAGAAAGTTTATAATTTTTTTAACATAAATTGTAACATTTTCAAAAAATATTATTGTACATTTATAAAATGCATAAACATATCTTTGTAAAAAAAAATTAAAAACCGTTTTTATTAAAGAAAAAAATATTAGTATGGTAATCTCAAAAGTTTAAACATTTAATTAAAATAAAAAATATTTTGGCATCGCTCCTTTACAACATTTATTAATTTATTACCAAAAAAACTAGTAGTTTACTCAAAAAAAACTTTAATTTTTGTTAGTCAAACATTTTTTTAACAAAAAAAATTGCACAGCAACAATTCTTGTAACAAGCTCGTTGTCTAAAAAAATTGTAGTAGGTCTCCATTAAAAAAAAATCTTACTATGTTTATCTCATAAATATAAACAATTAATTAATAATAATCTTTTTTTTTTTTAATTGCCATTAAATTGATAGTTTCGCCAGAATAAAATCGTTTCCAGACCTAAAGTGAACCTTTATTACATTTTAAACACCTCTTCAACTATTCAACCAAATACTGATAAGTTTTTTAGTAGAAGAAAACTAGTTTAATATATCCTAGACTTTTCAACTTTCAAGAGAGAATGATAAAGTTGAGAGACCTGCTCCAAATTGAATTCCCGTGGCTAGATTCTTGAGGGGATATTGTTCAGCGCTAAAAAGATGTTTTCTACTCTCTTGAAAGGAATTAATCAAAGAGAAAGCTCTTCGACTTTACATGTGGATAGTTTTATTTTAGCCCATTCTTGACGAAGCCTGCATAACCTTGCTAGAATACACCAAAACGGCAATGTTCATGTGGATGTTCATCGAAGGTCTTTATCTTCACAACGTGATAACCGTCACAGTTTTTCAAGAATATTCCTACATAAAAATATACTTTTATGTAGGATGGTCAGCACCTGCAATTATCACTGCTGTTTGGGTTTGGACGATGAAGATGGTCAGAAGGTAAAATTATATCTTCAGTAGAAAACGATTATTTTTGACAAATTAATTAGCTTTCAAACGATTTATGGTCGCAAAAAAGGCGTTTTTGTTTTTTTATTACCAAAAAACAAAATTTAGTTTTTAAGACAAGTGTTTTTTTGTTGTAGGAGAAGTCGGAGAAAATAAACTCCCCTCTAAGAAAAAAATATGACATATTTTAGATTAAATATTGGCATTTCGTAATAATTACAAAGGTCAATTGACGTCTTGTGATTAACAAAAAGCCAATTAAATAATAAATCAATTTTAATAAGGATGTTTTGAAGTAAGATAAAATAAGGCACAGTAGGTTTAAAAGCGTTATTTTTTCTTAAGTTTATCTCTCTTAAAAATATTCACCTCTCTACCAATTTCTGTTCATCAAACTTAATATTGTATGCAAAGAACCTTAAAAATTGAGATTTTAAAAATTTAGTACGCACAACGTAGTTAAAAAGATAAAAAGCTGAAAGAATTTTAATAAAATTTGCAGCTAATTTTGTTTAAACAAGAAATTTGAAAGGACAAAGACAATCCCTAATATTATTTGATAAGGAAATCAATTTCTAGGT